TTCACTCTGGAAGTTGTTTCAAGTTTCCAGGGCCTGCCAGGGTGCCTGGGGAGAGCTGTGTTTTGGGAACTGAGATTGGAACACAGGGCCAACACATTGGCCGTGTGCCACGGTCCACCAGCAGCTGCGGCTTGGCCAGGGTGGAGGTGGCTGTCATGCGACCCTCAGGAAACTACAGCAGTCCTGAGAAAGGCCAGCACGCCTGGCAGCCTCATGGCTCCCTGGGACACCAGCAAATAGACCACCCCTGGCAAAGGGTTATGTTTCTCAAGTTTTATTGTAAAATTCTCAGAAAAAGAGCATTTACAATGACAGCACTTGATGACGGTTTGCGAGGCATCCTCGTGTCCAAAGGTTCTGCAGAGACATCGTGTATACTGTGTCATACGTCAGTCAACACAAGCTGATTTCAAATGCCACATACGATTACTGTGTTGGTACAAATTTCTACTAAAGTTGATGTATTAAAAATAATTTATATATATTTTATAAATAAGGAAAAAATTCACATGTATAATTACAGGAGGCCTTTTGAGAAATACTGGTGATTAGAGAAAATATATTTTGGAGTCTACACAACTGCTCAAAATAACGCGATCTGCCTTGACATACGAGATCCGAGGGTTGTCGGAGGTGGGGAGGTGGCTGAGAACCACAAGGGGACAGATGGCATGTGTGGCGTCATACCTTCAGGGTCGTCAGTGACACCCAGCAAGGCTCCTTGCCCAGCTCTGCTCTCAGCTCCTCTTTTGTGGCCGTTGGACAGCGTGGGCAACAGGGAGGAGAGGGAAGTTCTTGGGGCAGGGCGAGGCAGGGTGCCCCTCCATGCATCCGTGGGTGCGGGTAGGGGCCTGCAGACCTGCTGCCTTCACTTCTCTCCAGCAGCCAGAACGGCCAGGCATCAGCCGCCTTCCCACCCATGGCCATTGTCGCACTGGGCGGTGGATGAGGCTTCAGATGTTGTGTGTTGTCTCACCTTGGTGCTCCTGGGTCTCGCACAGGGGCACTATGATGGCCTTTACTCAGAAGCCAAACTCCGCTCTTGAGGAGTGTGTCAGAGGCCAGTGTGACTGCCCCTGCCCCAGGGACATGGAGCGCTGTGTGTCGCTGGGCCTGATGCCATGGGAGTCAGCAGTTATTGCTTGGTGGAGTGCAGGCTGAGCCGTCCAGGATGTGGCCCATTCTCTGGGGCCTCATGGGAGAAGGATGTCCCATATCAGGGTGAGCCGGAAAGAAGGACATATGAATTGTGGCTTTGTCCAAAAAAAAAAAAAAAATGCAAGCACCTGCTAAATACTCTGAGGCTGGCTGCGGAAGCCTGGCTGCGAATTTGGAGTGAATCCCTACACGTGCTGTACTGGATCATTCCACTTCCTTGTTCAGCTAGGTTGGCTTTCCCGGAATGGCTTCCCACTGGTCCCCAGGGGGGTTGTGGATGCAGGAGATACTGGCTCCTTGCACCAGGAGGCTGGCAGCTGAGGCCTGCGGGCCTGGGCAAGGCTCACTGCCCCTCGTGTGACTGGACATGTGGTCTGGGGTAGACAGGTACAGGAAGTGGGCTGCACGGAGGGCTCGTGGCCACACCGGGGGTAGGCACTGGATGGCGTTGGTGTCCTCTGGACTCTCCTAAGCAGCTCTGTTGTGGAGAGGAGCGAAGGCAGCGGGTAGCTTTCTAGAGCAGAGCTGCTCAGTCTGCCTGCCCTGTGCCCCAAGCCAGAACATGGGCCGGGCCGGTGTGGGCTGGTGTCGTGGTAAGGCCAACTGCTCCTTGGGTGGCAGGAGCCATTGTGGTGTGGCTCCTGGGAAGGCAACGGGAGGGGAGGTGTGAAGCAGGGTGGTGTGTGTGTGGCAGGGGAGGATGCAGTGCTCGGGAGTGAGGCGTGGGCTGAGATCTGTGGACAGGATGGCAGGTCCCTGGCGACTCGGAGTAACTCTGGCCTCAGTCCCCTAACTCCGAGTGTCCGTGAGCTAGGGCTCGCCGTGTGTGGTATGGGGCAGCAAAGGCTGTGTTCCAGGGGTCTGACTGTGCTTGGAGTGTGCCTAGAGGTCCTGGGCAGGGGGCTGCCAGAGGCCCTTCAGGTCCAGGGGTGGCATCCTGGGGGTGTTGGAGGCAGGGCGGGATGTGAGGTAGCTTGGCGGATGCATACGAGGGGTGTGGGAGTGGTGGTGGCCCTCCCGGAAGCTGATTGCTCAGGAGGAAGTCCCAGAGGGGGCTGGGAGTGGGGAGGGACTGCTGGATTCTTCAGCGAAGGGGGTTTGTGGAATGAAACACTGAAGAAGGAATCGGATGCAGTGTTCACACCCCCAGTAGAAAAATAGATCCCGAAGGGACCCGATTCACATCTCAGTTCTAGTTCTGACACCTCCTTCAGTTCACAGGCTATTGGTCAACAGGAAACAGGAAGTTGTGGCCGGTCATGGCTGTCTTCTAGCTGCCGTGCGTGCTGAAGGCCCAGCAGCGGCACGCTTCACTCCAGCGGCAAGCTGCCTCCTCGGGGGCTGAAAAGCATCTTTTGGCTGCTTCCCCTACAGGGCTGGGAGCTCGGGAGTGGGCCGTCGGGCCAGGACTTACAGAGCTGCTGCTGTCTCGGGTCATAGTACTCAGAGAGCCATGTTGTAGCTGGCACTGACCAAGGCTTTCCGAGGTTCTAACCAGTTCTAGCTGATAACTGGGGCAAGCAGTTGCCGTCTGGGGACTGCTGGGTGGGATGGTGACTCTGGCCTCTGTGCTGTTCGAGAACTGCTGGGTAGACTGCCGACCCTGGCCCCTCTGTGCTGTCTGGGTCTGCTGGGTGGGCTGGGTGGCGGCCCCAGCCCCTTTGTTCCAGGTTCTGGCTGCCTGGAGCCGTGGGTGAGGCTCTCCCTTTGCCTGCTGTAACGCTGGCGCTGGTGTGGGCTGTGTGTGCGAGTGACTGCGGCAACAACCTTGCACATTTCCCACTGTGCATTTCAGAGTTTGTGAGGGAGTTTCCAGAAGTAGCTCTTTGGTGATTCTTTTGGCAAGGATAGTACTTCGGAAAGCAAACCAATCCTTTGTGTCACCAACACAGCCACCTGCTCACTGGCTCCACTGCCACCTGTAGGGACGCAGGCTTCCAGCAGCAGCTACTGGTGGCAGGAAGAGCAGGCTGCACTGGGCTGCCACCCAGGGAGCTCGCTCAGAGGACCCTTTGTCCTCCTGCTTCCTGTGACTTAGCCGCTGGGCTGGGCACCTGGAGCTGTGGCCACAGTGCCAGGCCTGTGTCTGCCTGTAGTGATTCAGTGTAGCAGGGGACAGTCAGCCCCAGGCTGTCTTGCAGTAACTGCAGCAGGACTGCTGGGTGTCACCCATGCCTGCCACGTGCACTTGGAGCTGCAAGGAGTCAAGGCAAATTGCTCTGCCAGTGTGGGAGGCTGTATCTTGGAGGGGCCACAGGGATCCTGCCACCCAGGGGGGCCACTGTTCTGGCCCGTTGTTGGGCATTCTCCCTCCTCGAGGTTCAGAGCCAGTTCTGCCATGGGCTGACCCAGTGTTCCTGGGAGACATTCATGGACACGGGAATTACCATGATGGAATGAAATTTTGGAAATCAAGGTGTCCATGCAGGTGTTGGTGTGATGAGGGGGGAGTCAGGTGTGTGTCCATCCCAGCTCCAAGAAGCAAGCGAGCGAGTCTTGGCCTTTGGAGGGCAGTGTGCTCTACCTCTGTCCTGCAGCTGTTCTTCAGGAAACCTGGAACTCAGTCTCGTGATCCAGGAAGTGGCAGGGCCAGGGGCCCGGTGGATCAAGATAGGACGCTCCCAAGAGTGGCTAACCATTGGAGGGGAGAAAAGGAGCTGTGAGTCCTGGGCGAGGCTGCCTGGCTTGCTCGGGCTGATGCATCCGTGGTGGCAGGTGGAAGTGGCGAAGTTAGCTCAGATCTGCGATGGGGCTGCCGCTTCCAGCCCTCTGAGCTGGAGAGCACGGCAGGACATGAGAGGAGGGGCAGAGGGTGTGGTAGGCCCCCCGGGCCTGGCTGGTCTACAGACTGATAGGACCATGTCCATGGTGTCGTTGGTATCCATGTGGGAGCCCCAGGACTGCATCTTTTGGGGCTCGGTGGTGCAGGGTGTCGTAAAGACAGGAACTGAAGGATGTTTCTGTGCAGTGCTGACGGGGGCTGGACCACAGGCTGGGGAGATGGCATTGCTGCAGGCACCTGTCTGGGCATCATGTGGGCACCTAGGGTTTCTGCTCTGAGCCTGAAGGTTGGTTGCTGCTGGGCATGGCAGCCTTATCCACCTTGAATCTGATGCTGGGGAGCAGGTGCACAGGCCCAGTCTCCTGGGGCTCGTGGTGGTGGCTGCATCTGCACATGGAGCCGTGGGGGTAGAGGCGGTGGGTGGCTGCGTTCCTGGGTGACCTCTGTTCTCTGTGGCTGTGGAGTGTATTGGGGGTCCCCTCTCCCAGTCAGAGTCGGGGCCTAAGTCCTCGGGCTGCCTCTTCCTGCTTAATTGCATTCGCGATTATAAAAAATCATCTTGTAATCAAAAACTTCCAAAATAAAGCATGTGGTTTCCCCATTCCCCGAGTCGCTGGAAGGCCTGCTGGCTCTCCCCCGGGCTGACGACAAGCCCCACGCAAGGAGAAGCAAGCAGCTGCGGCAGAGGAAGTGCGGTCCTGGGGGAGGGCCAGGCCCTGTTCCCACTGTGACCAGGCCCCTCTGGGGAAGTGGTGGCAGACAATGGCAACGTGAAGGCACCCGACGGGGTGCACCAGGTCTCCGGGGCTCCAGGGGGTGCAGCTCCGGGCTCAGGGCGTGCAGCTGGTACCGAGGCGCTTCCGCACACAGCGACGTGTGCTCGTCAAAGCTTAGGGCGCAAGTCAGACTTGCTAACGAAAAATCCCCCGTCGTGGCAGCAGCACACACCTCACACTAGGAAACTTGCAAGGGGGGCCAGTGTTGAACCACAAAGCGAATACAGATTTTTGCTTTTGTCTGTGAAAATGTACAGCGGACCTGCTTGGGGCTGTGGCATCGGGGCTGGGCGGTGCTTGGTCGTGGTGCGCTCACACCTCACCCACCCACACCACCGTGCTCCCACCCCTTATGCCTGACACCTCACAGCGCAGTGAGTTCTGCCTCGCATTGACCAGGAACAAGGACTCCTGGGCAGGGGTAAGCAGGTACTGCCCGAACAGCCCGCTGTCCCTCACTGGTCGCTGGGCTGCCGCCCAGGGCTGGGCTGGTCCCACAGGGGGCTTCTTCAGGTTCCTAAGCAGGGCCCGCTTGCCCGTGGCTAGCTGCAGGAACATCAGGTGTGGCTGCGTGGCCAGCGTGGCGTACACGTCGTACCGGCCAGCTTCGGTGAAGGAGCGCTGGAAGGCCACGTCGGCCACGCCCGGGCCTACCGTCAGCTGGTACAGCGTCTGGATCTCCCCGCGCGCCGTGACCTCCTGCACATGCAGCTGCGGGCTGTCGGCGGCAGCGCTGACCACGAAACGCCCGTCCGGGGATGTGTGCGGGACACCCGTGATGGCGCCGTTGGGGCCGACCACTGAGTCCGTGACGCTGTCGATGAGCAGCTGGGCAGGGGAAGGGCCGTGGTGGTGGCACTGAATGAAGAAGTAGCCGCCCAGGTGGGTGTGTGCCATGGCGCGGGGTAAGCAGCTGTGGCGCCGCAGGCTGATGGTGCCAAGGAGGGCCAGCGTCTCCAGGTCCACTTTGTGCACCGCGGGCTCAGAGCTGTTGAAGACGAAGCCAAACCTGGGAGGGAGCGAAGGCAGTGAGATCAGTGGGTGGGGGACCTGAGGGTGGCTGTAAGTGACAGTGTTGGCTGTGACAGGGGCAGCTCCCTTCCCCGTTGTCTTCTGTGTGAGCCTCTCGGGGCTAGGTGTGGGTGCTTGGGATGGTGCCCTTGGAAAACATGAGGAATCAAGGACGGGGTAGAGGAGGCCCGTGTGAAGGAAGGTGATAGAGCAGGCCATGGGGAGGGGTCTCCGCCTGACCCTGCCTGCACCCAGGACGAGATCAGCGCCTGCAGGACACAGGTGCCATGCAGCTGGTGCCCTTGACCCTGGAGGAGAACACAGGAGCTGGGGCAGTGTTGACTGCTAAGGTCCCATTGCCCGGCCAGCTGCACCTTGCGGTGAGCTGTGTGCCTCCCTGAGTCTCCATGACTCAAAAAGGGTTAGTCCTGACCGGGGCTGCTGGTGGCTGAAGGGTAGCAGACTTGGGAATCAGGAAAAGTCCCTTCTCCTAATTTCCTTTGGAGAAACGGTGTGCATGGGGGAAAGTGCTCTCTCTCCCAGGCAGGTCTTTAAAACACTTGTCAAGAGCCCAGAGTGAGGAAGGACCAGGGATGAAAGCCCTGCTCTTGGTGGGTGCTTGGCCGGTCCACCGCGTAGCTTTGCGGGCTTCCTGAGGTGGGGTGGGGGGATGAGGGAAGCAACACAGCTCGGATGCTGTTGTTGGGCTCTCCCTGCAGTAATGTGTGCTCTGTGGGCTAGGGGAGCTGAAGTCCCCAGGAGCTGGCAGATATGGACCAGAGAGGTTCCCCTAGTGGCAGCTCCCAGACAGGCAGCCAGGGTGCTACAGGACCGTGGATGGCTTACAGGGCAACAGCTCCCCACAGAGACAGGGGTGTGGTTGCACATGGTTCATTTCTCACGTGCCTGCAGCATCTGGGGCCCTGGCCCACACCAGAGGCCAGATACTTAATTTGGGTCTTGCCCATGCGTGGCAGGGATCAGAGCCCTGGACCTCCCAAGGTGTGCACCAGGCAACGTCGCTGATCCTGAACAATGAGGCTGCACTCTGGGGCTGTTTTCCTCATCATGGGCCCTGAATTTGGCCCAGGAATGGTATGGGCAGGTTCTAGCCTGAGCCAAGTTGTCCCAGGCTTGGCTGGGCTGGTCTAGGCTGGAGCCCCCCCCTGAGGCAGCCTGGCCCCCCTGAGACAGCCTGGCTCATCTCACCTGACGTGGTTGATGATGAGGTTGGTCGGGGGGATGAAGAAATCCTCCACCCCTGTGAAGGGTGTGCGGATCAGGTGCTGGCCCCGGCCGGTGCTGGCTTCTGTGATCACCTGCAACACAGGAGGCTGTTCATGTGAACCTACCAAGGGGGCGGTGCTGGGGAACCTAGGACACCTGCTTGTGCAGGTAGAGGTCCTGGCGGAGGGCCTAGGAGGAAGGTGACAGACAACCATGCCCTAGGAACGGGAAGTTGCTCCATGGGAACTGCCTGACAAATCACAGGCAGGCCCACCCGTCCTTCCTGGGAGAGGAGCGCTAGGCCTGGAAGCTCCCTCCCACCGCCTGGCTGGCGGGCCTCTGTCGAGGTCCTCGGAGCTGGCGCATCACCCCTTCTGCTAGCTGTGGCCTCCTCCCCTGCAGGCAGTGCCACCGTCTCAGTATCTGGCCACCCTGTGGGAGCGGGGACAGCGGTCAGGGCCATGAAGGTGTTTGGTGAGGGTGGTTTGCTCAGATTTCTTTTTGCTTTGCTTGCAGGTGCCTGAGCCTGTGCTGGGGACAGCAGCGCTGTCACGTGCTGTGCATGGAGTTGCTTTCTGCGAGCTGGGGCTCTGAGCTGGCCTGGGGGAAGCAGGAGTCCTGCGGGGCTGCCAGCACTGGGATGCTGGGAAGAGTGCTTCCCCAAAGGGGATGTGCTCTGCCCAGTACGGGACTGATGGGCTCCTCCCCTGTGCACCCGGCAGTGGACGGCAGGCCATTTCCTGGCGCATTCCCCTTGCTGACCGTGTGGGAATGAGGGCTTGCCCGAAGCTCAGGGCAGAACTGGCAGATGTGTGAGGTCTTGGTGGGAGAGGCATGTGGTGGCCCCGCTGTCACACAGAGGCTACCCTGACATGGAGGGCACTGGCCAGCTGGTGAGACCTGCAGCTGGGCATGGGCCGCAGGGCCTCTAGACAGGACAGGAAGTGGGGGCTTGAGCCCACCCCAGGAGCGTGATGGGACAGCCACCTGTCCATATTGTGGCAGCTCAAGGCTGTGCCTACAGCAGAGGGCAGTGTGTGCCGGGGCTTCTGGCTCCAGAGGCTTGAGCTCCCCCTGCTTTCCTCCTCTATGAGCGGGTCTGCCTCCCAGCTAGGCGTGGGGTGTGTTGCAGTCTGTGGTTTGTACTTCCCTCCAGGGCCAGCAGACAGATGGCCGGGTTGGTGCATGCCCACTGGGACAGCCCTCACCTTGCACCAGGCTGCTGCTTGCGCTGGGCTTTAAATGGCCAAATGATATCTGCCTGGCAAATCCGTGGGAAATTACACACAAGTGGGCACTGAGGCATGCAGTGAGAGGGAACTGGCTCCTGGAGAGCATGGGGGCAGTGCCAGCGGGAGCCAAGCAGCCTCACAGTCGCGGCCTGATGCCAGGCCTGTCATTTCTGCTTATAAAAGAGATGGGAAATTACAGGTTGTCAACGTTGGTGTCACTCCACTTCACTGCACTGACACCCTATATTCAGAGGTGACTTCGGCACCCAGTGCTGCGGGCCACTGAACCACCATGGGCACGGCTACCTCCTGTCTCCAAGCTGGGAGTTCTTCTTGCTCTTTTCTTGAGCCCCGGCTCATGGTGGGACCCCCCAGGTACCCACAAGATAGCTGCTGGGACTCCCCAGCTTTGCTAGCCCTGTGAGCTTGGTTCAGGAGACAGATGTGTGAGGTAACGGGAAAATGAATGGAAAATGGAACTGAAAATTTTCGGTGCAAGAAATTTTCATATCAATTCATCGATTTTTTTTCACCATATGCATCTTCTCTGATTTTGTGTGAAATACTCATGAGCTATCAGGACGTGTCAGCTGATTATCAGGTGAGAAGTGACACATGGAAAGGCAGCTGAGAGCAGGGCCAGGTCAAGGGCACAGGGGAGCAGCGTGTGGAATACAAGGAGGTGCCGTGGTGGCTCCGAGGGTCTTGGGCGAGTGAGTCCCAATCACAGGCAAGTCTGAACAGAATGTCGCAGACCCCTTTGCTGGGTATTTAGGAAAAATACTAGGATTTTGTTTTGTATGTTTTGCTAACATTCACCAGGCTGTAACACATTGTTACGGCTGGATCTTTGGAGAAGTCTTCTGGACCAAGTGCAGCCAGCCAGGCTCTCCCGGCTGTGCCCCGGGCTCCTGCTTCCCCTCTGCACAAGGCTCGGCCAGAGGCTGCGGGGCCGTGTCCTCCTCCTGTACCTGCAGTGGTGAAGGTGAGTTCATCCTGACCCATCCAGCCTTGCTATGTGATAATGCAGCTTCCTGGACGTACCAGTTCCCCTTCTTCCTGCTAACAAATTGCTACAAATGTTCAGTCATCAAGACGAGGGGTGATAGGGTTCGTCATATTTAAGGAACTTGCTCTCTTGCCAGTTTAGGCACCTCAAGAAGGTCAGCCGTGTTGCATCGAGTGCTGTGTCAAAGCTACGGCCAGTGTCCCGAGCCTTGCATTGGCTGGCGTCATGAGTCACATTTGTCCTCGGAGTTAAACTTGATTGTACTCTGGGAATTCATTCCCTGCTTGGGCCTTTAACCACACGGCTGCACTGTGACACCAACCCCGGGTTGGGGTCAGGCAGGGTCGCTGTGTATGATGGTGGTCCTGTATGACACGGTGACATGTGTTTATACTACACAGCACTCCTTGCTGTGTGTGATGGTGCCGGCGGCACGGGCAGCTGTGCGCAGTGCCCTGTATTTTAGGATGAATGGCCATGCTGCCCGTGTTGGTACTGCCTGCTTGGCACTTCCATTACTGTTCACAGGGCACTTCCCTGCTTCCTGGACAGCGTCAGGCTCCATGTGACACGGAGGCCACGTGAGGTTGAGTGACCCACCCACACAGCCGTGGGAGCCCACCTGGCGGTGTTGGCACACTCCCGTGGGAGGTTATTCTGTAGTTTCCCTTCTTACAGGGTTGGGAGTACAGGTGCACCAACGATTTACACCTCAGGAGCCGCACCTCCCCACCGCTGCTGTGGTCTGGGGAGTTCCGGTCGTGTGAAAACTGCTGGTTGAAGACTCTGTTATGCTAGCTCTTCAATCTGGGCATCCCCCTACCCCCCAAAATACACCCAACCCATCTCCGGTGGTACCAGGCTCCTGGCTTCCCTGCCTTGGGTGCTGGGTGAGCCTGCCCAGGAAGCTGCAGCCTCTGGGGTACTGGACCCTCGGTGCCCGTGGCAATGCCCGCCGCCGCTCAGTTCACGGCTTCATTCTTGTCTCCTTATTGAGCTTCTGAAAAACTAATCTGTTTTTCTGCTTTTGTTTCTGATTAATTTCGGCCTTAATTCCTTCCTGACGTTTTGCTGTTTTTCTCATTTCTGAACCAAATATTTCTGTGTCCCACAGGTTTTGACGTGAGTCTTTATGGCTTTTTGAGACTGAGGTAGTTTACTTTTGCTCCAGGATGTCCTAGGGTCACAGTTACACACTGATACAGCCCAGGGCATGTCATTTCACATGAAAATAGGCTACCTGATGGTAAAAGATTGTCTATGTAATAACCCAGGCTCCTCATTTATATTCAGTTTTATTGTTATCATTTTACTGCCTTGGTCTACACAGTTTGAGTACTTTCTGGATCAGATTGTGTTTAATCACTGTGTTAATAACTGCTATTCATCTTAATGATGAACTTTCACTTTCCCCTAAAGATGTGTTGATTTGAAAGAGTTTTTGGAGAGACAGAAACCTTCCTTCTGTTGCTCCACTCCCCATGGCTGGAACAGCCAGGGTTGGGCCCTCGCCGGGAGCGCCATCAAATTCTCCCACATGAGTGCAGGGAGCTGGGTCAGACAAGAAATACCTGGGACCCAAAGCAGTGACCAGATGGGACGCCCATGTTGTAGGCAGTGCCTTAGCTTGCTTTGCCACAGCACTGACCACGTTAAATCTCCACTTCTACCTTGTCTCATCTTCATTTTGCTAAACATCTTCACTTTTAAGCTCTTACTGCTATTTTCATGTTGTTACCTTTAACCTTCCATTTAGTGTTTCTTATAAATAGCTTACTGCTAGTTTTATTTTCGAAAAAGGTTCTAAAAATCCATCTTATCTTTTCTTTTTAAAAACATTTTATTTGAAATAGTGAACCAGGAATGGAGGATCTGTTTCTCTAAGTGTCTGCAGTGGCCAAGACAGGCTCCCTGTGTGGGCCCCCTGAGCTCTGCAGAGGCAAGGCTGCTGGGATCTGGGCACCCAGTCCCTCCTGGCCAGCTGGGCTCACCCCACTGATCCCCCAGGATGGGGGCTGTTGCCTGAGGCTGCCCCATTATCTTCTTGGACCCTGGAGAAGTTATTTGGGGATAAATGCTATTTGTCACCTAGATGGAGGCAGTTTGCAGGGACAAAGTGCTATCGGACTGCATGTGTTCAGCATACCTGGAGGCTTGGCCGGGACTTGTGCGTGTCCCCCCAGCTCAGGACCCACACCTGGTCGTGGGACTTGTCGTACAACAGCTTAGCTGGCAGAGGGTCCACACCTATGGACTTGAAAAACAATAGTGACAAGTGGGTCATCATGATTGTGGATGTGATGGTCGATGGAGAGGGATCTGGAGTGGTGGACAGCTGGCCCAGGAGCCAGTGATCCTGTTTGGAAATGCAGGACCAAGGCTTCCTCTCTGTCTTTGGCCCTAGAAACATCAAGTTAGTCGTCAGTGTTGACATGTCATCCTTCTAGAAACTTAGAGGCCCCCAGACCCCTGGGCAAGGCCCGCACATAGATGCTCAGCAAATAGGTGTTGGGGTGCGGGGAGGGCTCCCTTCAGTCCTGCTGGAAGGCTGCAGGCCCCCTGCCCTGCAGCCAGCTTGCTCAGTGTCCCCTATGAGCCGCCCCCACCTGGCCTTCGCTGGCTCTGTCTGGGACGGAAGCGTCCAGCTTACTCCCTCTTTCTCATTGCAGTAACTGAACTCTACAGGTGACTGGCTGCTCCTCTGCACGTCTCTGAGCCCCCTCTTCTCCCTGTGTGCTCAGGTCTCCGTCCGTCTCCCCTCTCAGCGGCTGAGCTCCTTCTGTAGCATGTATCCTAGTAACTAGATCGCCCTTCTGTCAGCCTTGAACCAGGACGTTTCCTCCCGCCTGAGGTTTGTGTCTCACCATCTCCCACACCTCGGGCCCTGCAGCCTCCAGCAGAGCCTCTTTGCTTTCCTAGACAGCACTTACCCGGGTTGCTTTCCAAATTTCCTGGCACCTCTTGGCTGCCTGGAGAGTCCCGGCCCGTTAGCCATGATGACAGCATTATGACACAGTTAATGGCTTCTTATTCTAAAAACCCTTGTGTGACTACACACGCTCCTCCAGCCACTCCCATTTGTCTGCTGTCTTCGCAGCAGAACTCTCCTACAGGTTGGCTTGTGGTCACGGTTTCTCAAATGCCTCCAAGTGGATTTCATCTTCTCATTCTGAGAGGCTCAAGGGTTTAACTTGGAAACCTCCTCCAGGCAGCACAGAGCTCACCACCCTGACGGGGAGCAACGAGTGTGATGACCATGCTGGCATCTTGGCAGAGATCAGAGCCGACTGGGAGGACGGCGAGGCTGCTGGAGGCTGCAGGTTAGTACCTGATTAGACCGAAGTGATGAGCTCTCACTCTGCCTAGTGGAGGGCCGGGTATCCTGCCTGGTGCATGACAGCTGCTGAAAGTCATTTTGTTTAAACTGTCGGAGTTCCAGGATCACGAGGCATCCCAGATTTGGGTGATCCCAATGAGAACAGAGCCATAGGTGATGCCTGCAAAGACGATTCCCTCCATCTTTATTTTATAAATTCTTAAAAGTAAAAGTGAAATACCTGAGGTAATAACTGAAATAGGTTTGTATTGAACTCAGCAGAAGATAGTATAAACAAACAGGAATAGATAGAACACCTCTGACTTGAGTAGCAAGAGAGATATAGCTCACAGCTTGGAGATCTCATTTTTAAAAACAGTTCCTCAACAAAAGGTGAGAAAATGAATATTTTAAATGATGGCTGATAAACCTGCAATGTGATTAGACAGTAACACATGCATCTATAACTATACCCCAACAGTACGTTTCCTGTAGAAGTAAGGACTTTGAAGCAAAAACTGAATTACGAAAAGCATTGAAGTAACTCATGAAAAATTTTATAGCTCTGTCTGGGGTAAGAGTAATAGAAAAGGCAAATAGAAATTAGCATTGCTTTGTCATAATAGAAGCCTAAGAATCAATTCATTGTTACAATAATACATAAGACAAGAGAAATGCTGATGCCTTGTGCTAGGGTTATCGGGGAAGTAAGGAGATTGGCATGAGGCTACGTCGATGTGAGGCGAGCAGGCATGTTATTTCATGGCAGAGATGTTTTGCCCACAAGTGAAAGTGTCCAAAAGGAGGAAAAATGAGAAAGCGACTAAGATGTTAGATTTAACTCGGCTGTAACTAAATAAAAACACAACCACGTGTCCAAGTAAGATTATTCACTAGTTAATACACAATCTAACTACCTCTAGCTTTGCTAAAGAGCACTTTATTGTTTACATAATTCTGCCATCTTTTCTGCATCCTCCATCAAATAAACCAGATTCTGCTAAACTGTTTAGGCAAGAAGCATGATAAGAGATAAAGATTTTTTTTTTTAAGAATGTGAGAAAATAGGTTGATAGGAAAATCTATTTGTTTATCCTGTCTTCTGCTGTGCCTGAGTTCAATACAAACCTATTTCACTTTCAAAACTTAAGAATTTATACCGTAAAGAGGGAGGGAATTATCTTTTCCAGAATCACCTGTCCACCTAACGATTCTGCGATGACCGAGTGGTTTACATGACGATCAGTGGCTGTCCTCCACTCGAGGCAGAGCGCAGCTTCGGTTTAATCTGGTACTAAACTGAATCAAATCTTCATTCTAATCCTTTGAAAGATTGTATCAAGAAGATGTTATGATTTTAAAGTAGAAGTAGATAAGAGGAATATTTTTAATAACAGTGGAAGATGTTAACCTCGCGGGGCAGCTTTGCTAAGCAGACAGACCCTCTGAACAGTCCAACAACTTGCAGAACTGTCCTAGTCTAAATGTGCTCTTAACATGTACATGAAATATTGACCAAAATGTCACAGGCTCCATCATAAAACGAACTTCGGTAAACCCCAAGAGACAGAAAAATCTGTCCCGTTTCGTAGGAGAAAGCAGAGCCCCAATCCCACCCAACTTCCTGATGCCAGAGCTCGCAGTGGGACGGCCCTGCCCTCGTGAGCTCAGGATTGCCCCACACTCACAGCTCACATTCAGCTTCTCTCCTTGGCCTTCCAGACTCAGTGATAACCTGTGCTGCCTCACTGAGGAAATAAACGTAAGTGGGAATGAGGTTCATGTGGCTATCACTGCCACGTTACCTGTCCGCTCCAGTGTGGAATACTCAGCCTTTCCACCTGCTGCACAGAGAGGATGTGTCTGGGAGGCAAGCAGGTCCACCTTGCTGACTCCTAGCTGCTCCGCAGCAGGAGAGCATTCGGGAGGGGTGGGGGGTTTGCGCCAGCAGATGCACATGCTGTGACGTCACTGATTCTGACCAAGTTCCCCTCAGTCCCCACTGCCTGCGTCTGCGTCTGCTTTGGCTCCCCATCCAGCCATACTCCTCTCTGTGCTTGTCCACTTTCACTTCTCCTACTCCTTCACTCAGATCCACCCAGAGGCATGGGCTGTCCCTGCCTATCCACTGCGGGCCTGCACCAGGTGACCCACACCGCCATGTCCCAGGTGCCTGGCAGTAGCATTTGGCCCCATGCCCATAGCTGTCCCTTGGTATGCATCCTCCCTGCTCCATTCCTGGCCTCTCCCCTTCTTTTTTTCAACTTCATGGTTTGTAACAGCAACTGACTGACACTTCTGGAACCTGCAGCGCCTAGAGGACTTGCACTGGGCCAAACCTGGCATGCTGGGCAAGCCTGTACTATCTCCCCAGGCTGGGAGGAGACAGTGTCTCCTCTACCAGCCCTTGGCTCCTGGCCCTGGTCCTTGCTGGAGACCCACTGCCCTTGGCCACCCTCCTCTGGGAAGGGGCACCTGTGATGGCCTTGAGGGGTCAGCTCCCAAGGTAAGGTTGTTCCTTAGGGCTGTTAAGGTGACAGCCTCAGGCATGGCAGAGTGGGAGGGGTGCCCTGTGGCATCCATCCACACTTTGTAAAGGGCATCACCACTGAAAAGCTGAAGTGAAAAATCACTAGATGGTTGTTCTCTCAATTCTCACATTCACCTCGTCAGGAGATCTTTGGGGCTCCGCATTTGAACACACCAGGCACTTGGCCCTTCCTCACCTCCTTGGAGTCCGTGTGACCACACGCGCATGCTTTGTGCCTTGTCTGTCCCTCACACAGCAGCTGGAGCCACTCTTCCTCCCTGCTCCCCACCATGGCTGTACCTGTAGGACCTTCTGGGCCTGGACGTCAACCACGAGGACTCTGCCCAGCGCCGGCTGGGCCGCATAGATGTACCGGTTCCTGACGTTGACGGCGGATGCCCACTGGCAGGGTGGGCTGTCTTCTCTTTCGGTCTGCGGACAGATGTCTTCCTGTGGGGGAGAAAGGCTGTCCTGTGTCTTTGTAACCCCTGTCCCCCATGTACATGAGGTTCTCTCACTCTGTGCCTGAGCTGGCCCTGCCCGCTCAGAGCCACAGGAGATGGCTGTGGGCCCTGCACACCCCCTGCCTCATGTCTGCCTGCTTGCTGCGGGGTCCCTGCCCAGCCCCTCGCTCTCTTCTTCCCCAACTCTAACGGAGCTGCTACAGGGGTCACTGTGCTCCCCACCACCCCAGCCTCCTTGCTCCCTCGCTCTCCCCCCAGCTTATCTCCTCCAGGCCTCTGTCTTACTGGCACCTTGCTGAGGGGCCTTCTATGACCCCTCTAGTTGCCCCTGCCTTTGACTCTTTTTGGGTCCCCATCATGGTGCAGTCAGCCACTGCTCATCCTCTCCAGGGATTTGTCAGAGAAGGATCTGGGTCGGCCTCCCCCGCTGGGTCCCTGCTGCAGCCCAGTGTGCGCGGCAAAGGCTGCAGCTCAGAGGGGTGAAGTCTCTCCTAACACCACTTACCGTGCCTGCCGTGTGGACGGGGTGGCCTGACCTGCTTCCCTGTGGCTCTCCCCGCGGTGCAGAGCTGGCTCACGACTCCCTGCCCTCTTGGGCTGCTGGAGACCCCTTCTTGTGCTGCCTCCAGACCACGTTTCTGTCTAGCTTGTTTGCTACTGGGGACAACTGAACTGGTTAGCATCCAGGAGATTCCCCCAGCTGCCCGGTGCATGATTGCAGATCCATGAGGGATTAGTGCTGATGTGACACAGTGTGATTATTCAAACCTAATTGTGAGAAATTAACTACGACCACTCCTCTTAACTGGCTTCATGGGTCTTACGTGAAAGGAAAATTCATCAGAGGTTGATGTGTCTAATTAATTCTAATGGAGTTGCCTGGAGAACAGCTGTTCCTGAGCTGCACGGGGAAGGGACAGGATGGCTGGAGATCTGTGACAGCCAGTGCAGCAGCACGTGGCCAGCGTGGACCTCTGCTCACCTGGCATGCAGGTACTGAGGACATGAGGAGTATCTCCTCCACACCAGGGAAAGGCGTGGGGATTCAGTGCCCCGGTCCCCAGCTTAGCACGTCTCCCAAGGTGTGCGGGGAGGGTCCTGACCCCTGTGTCCCTTCAATCTGCCTATGGCAGCCTGGAAACTCAAAAGGTATCACTTTGGTCAGGCCCTCTACATCTACGTGAGTCTCGGGGCAGGCAGAAAAGTGTTGTTAGGGAGGGAGACATAGGTGGGACCAGAATGCTAGAAAGACAACTCTGCTAACTGCAACCCAGGCTTCCCTCAGCTCCTCACTACCCAGCAGGCTGCAGCTCTCAGTCTGCATAAACACTTGCCCATTGCCTAGCTGAACACGATTACTACTGTTTCTCCTAATGGTGCCTGGCAGTTGGGCTGCAGGTGCTCGACCTGCCCCTTACCCTCAGATTAGCACTCAGCTACAAAGTTTCCCCTGCCGGCCCAGGTCAAAACAGGACAACCACGGGAGGAAAGGTTACCCAACTTTAAGACTTCCTGACAGTTCCCTTTTTCATGCCAGCCCTAGGGGCTGCTTTTCTCTTTACAGTACAGTCTGCTGGCCGGTGAATAAAGATGCTTGAACTAAGAGTTTGCGTCTGACTCGTTCTTGGGATAGAATCTGTGAGCCTGCCCCCTTCCACCAGCTGTCATCCTCTCTGCCTCTGCACGGAGTGGTATCTCAGGCCCCGTCTGCACCTGTGATGCCTAAGGGTCACCTGTGTCCCTGCTTGCTGCTCTTGTTCCCTGCGGGCATGTCTGTTTGGCAGCTGGCTGTTCACACTGCTGGGGCCGTGATGTGTACCTGTGGGGACTAGGAGCCTTTCTGTGCCATAGGGTGGGAGTTCAAACTCCCACCCTATGGTACCAGCCTCATGGTATGTAGATCAGGCCTTTGCTTCTGGTGCCCAGTATCCCATATGGGTGGTGGTTTGAGTTCCAGCTACTCCACCTATAATCCAGCTCCCTGCTTGTGGCCTAGGAAAGCAGTGGAGGAGGGCCCAAGTGCGTGGGTTCCCTCATCGAAGACCCACATCGAAGACACCCCAGGATCCTGACTGGACTGGCCCAGCTCTGGCTATTGCAGCCATTTGGCGAGTGAACCAGCAATGGAAGGTCTCTGCTTGTCTCTGTAAATCTAGACTTTCTAATAAAAATAAACTATTTAAAAATTTTTTCTTTAAAGTCTAGATTTACAGAGAGGAGAGACAGAGAAAGATCTTTTGTTTGTTGGTTCACTCTCCAAGTGGCTGCAATAGCCAGAGCTGAGCTGAGCTGAGGCCAGCAGCCAGCAGCTGCTCTGGGTCTCCCACATGGATGTGCAGTCCCAATGCCTTGGGCCGTTGTCCACTGCTTTCCCAAGCCATAAGCAGGGGGCTGGGTAGGAAGTAGAGCAGCCAGGAAACAAACTAGCACCCATATGGGATCCTGGCAGGTGCAAAGCAAGGATTTAACTATTGAGCCATTATACTGGGCCCAAATCTAGTCTTTCTAATAAAAATCTAAAAAAATCCAGCCTATATCCTTAACTGTAAAAAATCTGGAACATGAAGAATCTAGTGGCAGGTAGGATTAGCTCCTGCCTTGCAGGAGAGTGAGTGTATGTGTGATGTAGAGCCTGCTGGGCACAGAGACCTACCGAGTTTATCAGGATCTTCTCCGTGGGTTTGAGGTGCCGCTGGATCTCACAGTCCACAGGGTGGAGAGCGACGATGCCGTCGTCCGAGAAGACATAGAACATGTTTCCCACGCTGAGGCCTTGGGGTGGAGGGGCACAGGATGGTCACACCCTGCCCAGTGGCCTGGCCACAGGCAAGGTCACACACAACATGAAGCACATCAGACCTGGCAACCTGGTCACTTGGGGTGCGGGCACATACCACAGCACCTGACGTGGGGTGGGTAAGGTGGGGGGCAGTGGATGGCCTGCCTTAGTAAGCTCAGCGTAGCCCCAGGCATTCCTCCCAGTGCCCCTCCCAAGAAAGGGCTATCTTAGTCCTGGGCCTGTGGGCCCCTCCCTCAAGCCAATATCAGTTTGTGCATCAGTGCCCAGCCCAGGGCTATGGCTGTCTAGGGAAGGGGGGCCTCCCTCGGGGACTACTGAGGTCAGCCTCTGAATTCTAAGGATGAAGCAGCTGGCCTGAGCTCAGGCTGCCTGTCTTCGTGCTGGAGCTGGGCTGAGACCCGAACCCCAATGCTGCCTCCATGCATGAGGGACGATGGCAGAGGTCTCCCCTTTCCCCTCTTCATTCTTAAAGATTTATTTTATTATTATTGTTTATTGGAAAGGCGGATATACAGAGAGGAGAGACAGAGAGGAAAATCTTCCGTCTGATGATTCACTCCCCAAGTGAGTGCAACGGCCGATGCTATGCCGATCCGAAGCCAGGAGCCTCTTCCCGGTCTCCCACGTGGGTGCAGGGTCCCAAAGCTTTGAGCCGTCCTGCTTTCCCGGGCCACAGGCAGGGAGCTGGATGGGAAGCGGGGCTGCCAGGATTAGAACCAGTGCCCATATGGGATCCCGGGCGTGCAAGGCGAGGACCTTAACCACTGCACCATTGTGCCAGGCCCTCCTCCCTTCATTCTTTTAAGGCTAGAACATCAACATTTCTGTAAGATCCAACCAGACTGTTAGGGTTTGCTTCAACCTTTGTGGAAAATGGAATGAAAAGATACTTATTCTGGTGCGCCTCATTTGGAAACGAACACGGTTTTGTTGTAATACGTGCTCTCCATGGGCTTTTGCAAGACCCTTCGTCTGTCCTGGATTTCCAAGTCTTCTGCACCAAAACAAGCTTACCTTTTCAGTCCGTTTCCCCCAAACTTTTTCCAGTCCTCTCGTAACTCATTCCCTGTTGTCTGTGATGGCTGGTTCCCGGACCCTTCCTCCACACATACCCCCAACCTGCAGCTTCTCAAGTCCCTTGCAGACAACGACACAGCATCGATCCAGAACCCACAACATCCTGCTGTTACTGTGGATCAACTCTAGGTTCCTTCCGGCACTTACCACAAGGCAAACACTGTGAGCAGCTACTGTGCTGTCTTGGTTAGGAGCTAATGACAGATAAAAATGAAAAAAACAAAACACCCATCCAGCTGGTGTTGCGGTGTAGTGGATGAATCCTCTGCTGCTGTCTGATACCTGGCTGCTCCATTTCCAATCCACTCCCTGTGAATATGCCCGGGACAGCAGTAAAGGACCCAAGTGTTTGGGCCCCTGCACCCAAGTGGGAGACCAGGAAGAAGACTTTGGCCTTGCCTGGGCCACTATGGCCATTTGGGGAGTGAACCAACAGATGGTAACTCTGCATTTCAAAATTTTTTTTTAAATACCCTAAACCCAACGCCAACACCAATGGCAAAGTGTGTGAGGTCCCAATCTGTGCACATCTACAGGTGGTCTGCTTCGGAGGAGGTGGCCAGCGGCTTTCGGTGGGAATGCCACGTGTTTGCACTGCCATTAAATATAACTCTGCACAGGTTTTAACCATGGCTCAACTCCTGTGTCGCGTGAATGTGACCTTGATTTCTACCCTCCCATCTGTTTTGGAGCCTAGGCCCTGCTAGTGGGGTGGCTTGGTGTCAGTGGATGCCGACAGCAGTTCACAGAGCCCATTATGCAACCTCACCACGCGATCACAGGCACACCACGGAACCCTTCAGTCCAGTACCTTCCTCTCGCCACAGAATGTTGGCGACTGTGGCAGCCATGGCAGCAGACCATCAGGACAGCAGGTGTGTGATGGAGGGGGGAGAAGAGAGGAGAGTACCATCAGACCATCACCTGGAGATTCCAGCTCGAGTGTGCTACAGCCTCGTCCTTCGCTTACAGGCTCTGTTCCATCCTCTGGCTCGGCAGCATGACCCGAGCACTCAGCACACACAAATACTTCTGGTTTGCAGGACTGTTCATTTTCTAAGGGAATCTATGAACTCGGGCCCCGAGATCGCAGATGCGAATGGCATGGATGAGGGAGCAATGTTGTGCCTGGGGTGGCTGGAACATGTCCAGGACGCGTGTCAGCCCAGGACTCTCCTGGGAAGATCACATGAAATAAAACACTCTGCTGCTCTGTCTCCCTTGATGATACAGGCTTCGGCTGCACCCTCCAGTCAACGCAGGGTGTGGCCATGAACTCACACCGGCCTGCCCACCGGCGGAGCATACCCTTGGCACACCCATGCTTGGGGTCAATGTGACCCTGTCCCAGTGGTGTGCAGGCACAGCAACCCCCCCCCCCCACACCATAAGTAAGGGATACATCTCAGGACTCCCAGTGGATAGCTGAGAGCAAGGCTGCCCCAAGCCCTCCGTGAGGATCTTCAGCAAAATCACAGTGTGTTAGGAGAAACTGTGGCTTTCACAGTTACACATGTTCCTTGCTTCATTTTTCCACCAATTGCCCAGAGAACCCCTGCATTGTGCAGTGGATACAGGGCCTGGGCTGGGTTGTCTGAGCCCTCTCCTGGCCCTGGGCTCAATCTGCTGTCCAGAGAATATCATTAGTGGTGATTCTAGAACTGTCCAGGTTGCTCACCTCAGGTGCTTGCTGTGTCTTGCCCTATCTGCAGGGGGCAGTGTGTATACCCCAACTTGCCGGGGCCCACAGTGGGTGGCTGCAGTGCTCGACCACGAGTGCCGGCACCCTTCCCCCAACCCAGCTTGCTGACAGCTCCAGCAACCGAGAGTGGACTCACGGGTCTTTCTTGCTGAGTCTTCGATGAAGAGTGAGGAGATGTCTTCGTCCACGCCCACCTTGTTTCTGGCGATGCAGGTGTATGCCCCTGTGTCTTCATACCGGACACTGCCAATATGGAGCTCACTCCCGTTGGCTGCAGGAGGGACAGGGGTCAGGGTGGCTGGCTCAGCTGCAGACCCCCCACCTCCCCAGGCACTTCATGGGGCCTCTGAGTGTGGGGGGCGAGGGCAGCCGAGTCTGAGTCATGTGCCCAGACTCAGGTGGCTTGGGAATGGAGGGACTGTTGTGCTCAGGGACTCCCTCCCCTCCCCTGTCCCACCCCAGGCAGGATGGCCAGACCATACCTAAAAGGGAGAGCTGCTTGGACAGTTGCGCTGAGACATCCATGCCATTCTTTAGCCAGGTGATCCCGGGCATGGGAATGCCCTCGGCATGGCAGCGCAGGCTGGCAGCCACCCCGGGCTCCTGTGCCTGGGTCTCAGGATAGACGCGGATGACCGGTGGCACTGCGGGAGAGAGCCAATGCCCATGAGAGAAGGCCCTCACAGGCTCCTGCCACTGCTCCCCCGCGCACCCCCAAGCTCCTGCGTCCCCCAAAGGGCGAGGCTGAGAGGCGCCTGCAGATGCCAGTCGTGGGCTCCAGACCCCTTCCCACAGCACAGCCTCTAGCATGAGGGTTATGAGACGCAGGGCGGGCAGGGATGCGCCAGGCTCTGTGCTGTGAGGGCATGGCCTGCAATACACAGCCACCACATGTGTGATGCTGGCCACCTGGTGCGTGCACAGAGCAGCAGGTGAAGTTAAATTCTGAACAGACTTGGTTCAGATGTGGTATCACCTATGGGGAAGTGCCAGGGAGGGTCTTCCCTTGTCGCAGGAAATGCCTCACAGAACACTGACCACTGACTGACCACGCTGCCAACCTCAACCCTGCCCTGGGAAGCCCCTGATTGCCCAACCCCTGACATGCAGGTCAAAGGGCACTTGTGCCCTGGCTCTATGTAGATTCACTCACAGATTCTCGCAGTCCCGTCTGAGGGCATGACCTGGCCCATTTACCAGATGGTATATGAGTAGGGCTTTGGGGCCTTGCAAAGGAGAGAGAGACCTCCTGGAATCCCTCCCTCCTGTCCTGACCCCCGAGCCAGGAGGGAGGGGTCCTCAGCTCATGTCTGCTGGGACGGAAGGCTTTACTCGCTCACTGCCACATCCCGTGTGCCCCCCAAACAGGATCTGTGAGCACGCAGACAGTAAACCAAGCCAAACCCTCACGTACATTCAGAAAGGGGAGGTGGGTTTGTCCTGAGCCGATAGCTATGAGGCTGCTTGAAACAGTTCGTGGACCAGGGGCATTAACACAGCTTGCCTTCACGTGACACCGGAAGCAGCCTGTGTGTTTTTCTAGCACTGTCTGCACACCTCTGTGTCCGGGGCAGTGCCCCACCCAGGGTTTCAGGAAAGCACAGATCAGAGTGCAGAGTGGATCAGTGCTTCCATAGAAGGAGGCAGTGGGGGCAGTGACCCCAGTGCCCAAGTGAGGCGGATTCTGCCACTTGCATGTAGGCGGACAGAGGGCAGAGGAAGGACTCTAAAGCCCCGCTGGCCCAGGTGGACTCACCGGTTTCTGGCAACGTTCCTTGGACACTCAAAGAACTCAACCAACCAATTCCAGGTTTCTGCCTGTCCTCGGCTAATGTCCAGGGCAATGCCAGGGATGCCGGGGCGGGTGGGGTGGGAGAGAAATGGAAAAAGGCAAAGGGCACGATGCCCCCTCACACGGCCAGAGCCCGGCAGTGACCTCAGAGCTCAGAGAGTGTTCCCTGGGCCACCTGTGGAGGCCATGTCATCCTGTGTGTTTCCCTGTTCAAGAACCTCGGGAAGGGACCACGCCTTGTCACGTTGGGGCTGAGGGAGGAAGAAGGCCCTGGCCGGAGCTTTTCTCAAGCTTGGAAGACACCTTAGGTCTCCCTTCCTGGATTCCATGGGAACATGCCATAGGACCCTTTCTAAGATGCCCTTGGAACCCGCAGTGTGTCCCCATTCTCCCACCCCATGGGAACACACAGCTTGTCCCCCTCCTCCGACCCCACGGGAACCTGCAGTGTATCCCCTCCTCCGACCCCATGGGAACACACAGCTTGTCCCCCTCCTCCGACCCCACGGGAACACAGCACATTTCTCTTTCCCATTCAGCTCCTGACTTCCCTGGTTCAAACAGAGAAGACTGCTTCACACTGAGCATTTGCTTAAGGAGAATGAGGTTCAAATTCAATGTGGCGATCAAGCTATCGATCAACTGCAGACATGAAGTTTGGCTGCCAACAGCACTGGGCTGAGAGGTGACAGACAACTTGGGGTCTAGGTTGGGAGTTGTCAGCACCTGGGCACCCATGAGCCTGAGTGCCCACTCTCTGACCTCACGGTCAGGTTGTGAAGTATGCCCAACAATCAAAGTCTCCTCAGGGACTAGGGGCACACAGTCATTAGAGACACAGAAATCCATGAATGTGTCGGGTGTTATTGTGCTGTGGGCTAGACTGCCACCTGTGACACTGGTGTTTCAATGGAGTCTTGTTTCCAGTCCTGGCTGCCCCACTTCCCATCAGCAGACTGCTAATGTACCTAGGAAAGCAGTGGAGGGCGGCCCTGGGCCTTGGGTGCCTGCCACCTGTGTCGGAGACCTGCGTGGGGTTCGTGCCTCCTGGGGAGTCAGCATTCAGAGGGTCTCTCTTTTTCCCTCTGTTTCTGCCTTTCAAAAAAATGAATCTTAAAAAAATACTGAAAGTCAAAAACAAGGAAAACTAATAAATCTAAGAGTAAATCTAAGAGTAGGCAGTTAAAACCTTTAACACAACAGCCAAGTTTCTGATACGTTTGATCAATAAAACAGAGAAAGGCAGAGGATATTTAAAATTGGGAAAATATTCCTTTCATTCCATTAAGGGAAATTTAAAAATCTCAATGAAGCTGATCGCACAAAAGGAAATGTCGAAGCATCAACATTGAATCAAGAAGTGACTTTTAAAAGCATGTATGTGTCACCAAGGCCAAAGCCAGCATGCTTAGTTTTGCTGGTGGGGATCCTTTGCACATTTACAGTGGGGTCACTGCTGATGTGGACAGTAAGAATGTTCCAGATTTCATCACAAGGCCAGTATAACCTGGACACCCAAAACCAGAGAGAGCTAAGAAAACTCTGGGTACAAATCCTTCTGACTTGGGAGTGGATGGGTTGTAATCCTAAGTGCAATATTAACAAATCAGATCTGGCTTGCTATGAAAAGGGCACACTGTCACCCAGTGGGACATGTCTCAATGGCTAACTATTAGGAAATCTGTAATTAATCACAGCCAAAGGTAGACAGTCCAAGAGAAAAGTCATTTAATCCTACTAGACATGGAAAGGGCTTTTGAAAAAAAAAAAACACCCAAAACCATTTCTAGAAGGGGCAAACGTTTCCACAAAAGTAAAGTAGTGGGATCTCTTCTCTCTGCAATGAGGAACACCTCCACGAAAAGAGGAGACGGCCCCATCCTATTCTGAGGGGGCAAGCATCAAGTCAAGAACAAAGGAGAAAGAAATGGGAGCACCTGCTTCCTGTCATGATATTGGAGGTTGTCAATGGGCAGCAAGCCATGATGAACCCAAGCATTAACAAGAGAGAAAGGCTACTTCATGTGGCTGTCCCCTGGGTAACATCACTCAATAGTCAAGATTACTAAGAATTCTAGAGGAAGCACCCAGCATCACTCTGGTCTAGGCAATGGTCCAAAGCAGCAAACTGAAATGCAGTCCATTGTCAAAGCTCACTGGCAACTCGGGCACAGACTGGACAGAGTGACTGGACAGGAAGCCCTACCATTGCCAAACAATGCAATACTCCAATTTAAGCCAGACTTCATCTACTTCTAGTCAGTATCAGTGGGTCAGGGCTTCGCAAAACTTATCCAGCAGCAAAGAAGGCGCAGCCTAGGCAATTTTGCAAAAGCAGACTGCCATAGTGCCACCGGAGATACCACTAAGTGCTACAATGCCAACAGTGCCAAGTGGGGAGGAGACAGGGGAAAGCGCTCCCACCAGCTGCTGCCACCCTGGTGACCAACACTGAGTGGCGTTGTAAAGCTCCTCTGACCCCATCTCGCACAGCCAATGGTCATTCAGTGCCAGCCATGTGCTGGCCAGGAGGCACACGTGCTGCCTCACAGCCCCAGACACTGCTCGCACTGGGGCACCATGGTCTGCATGGGCAAGAAGGCTGAACAGTAACTGCTAGTGTGACCATCACTTCCAAGTGGGGCCTGGGGTTGGTGTTCAAGGGAAACTCTGCAGGATCTCAAGCAGGCCCCACAAGTACACAGCAAAACTTCCTGAAGCCTATGCCACCCACCCTTCTGTTGTTGGGGGGCCTGGCCGGAAGCTGAGAACTCAGGAGATGGGCTGGCTTGGTCTCTATGCTGTGGGCGCAGAAGAGCCTCCATCTAGCCAGGAAGCCACTTGTACCCCAGAGGGGACATGCACCTGAGCCACCTCTGGGGCTTAGTGAGACAGGTGCCAGTCTGCTCTATGTGAGGTCAGAGGTCAGGGCAGGCTGGAGGGGGTCTCATCTGCCTGCCAGGTTCCTGGCAGGGCCCAGAGTCAGCCCTGACTTGGAAGCTGTCTAACCAAGTTAGCACTGTAGTGAAGCATATGGCACCGTTCTACAACACAACAAACGGCAACACTTGAGGTATGGGAGGAGTCGTTTACTCAAACACAGGGGCCTGAAGGCAAGACACAGGGGTCCCTGTGGGCAGGGGCCTCAGCACAGCCCTGCATGCTGGGCTCTCGGAGAGGAAGCCTCTGGGGCAGAGGGCTGGTGGCTGCCCAGCTTCTGTCTCCCTTCCGTTCCTGCGGCATGACTAAAGTGGGGGCCTCAGGTCTCTGCCTGCTCCTCCCTTACTCCTCTCCCTAGCCAAGCAGGGGACTCCCAGGACCCTTCTCCCTGCACCAGACCCCAGGGGCCTGAGGCTGGAGGTCTTCCCCCAGAGGATATACTGTGCCTTCCAGAACTCACATTCTGCCCTCAGCAAAAGCTCCCAAGTCCTTCAAACCTTCTGAGTGTTCTTCCCCAGGACACTGCTCCTCCTGCTGCCCTGGTGGGACCCCTGACTACACATCACTGGGCTGTGTGACCCTCATGGCCACCTCCTGACAAGTCTCCTTCCCTCTGCCAGGCAGGCATCCAGTTTCAAGTCTCACATACCAACCTAGGTCGTGCCTAGCATCCTTCCTGCCGCCCATCCTCCTGCTGCTTTCCTGGACCTGGCACTACCCCTCTCGCCCCTGCACCCACGGCCCCCCTCCATGCACAGCTTTTCAGAAGAGGCTTGATTTCTGTCTGCAGAGAGAACACACACACACACACACACACACACACACACACACACACACACACACCCTCTTTATCTCCTTGAAGACATCTGTGAGAGCTGCCCATACATGGTGGCTGCTGCACCTTCCACCCCTCTCCTCCATGAGCCAGTCCTACTCCTAACTGTGTCCACTGCTCTGCCCATACTGCTCCTGGTCTCAGGGACCAGCAGTTCTGACGTTGACTGAGTGCCTCCTCCCTCGGGCGACCTGCCCCTGTATACTGCCCTTCTCTCCATCGTCCTTCCGTTGCATCTCCTGCGTGTTCTGTTTTACCGCTCAGGCTGAGTGGTGGAGTTATTGGCCTGTGGACAGCTTTTATCTGTGCTTGCTCTTTCAGTCACTGAGCTGAGCTCATGAACTATCATCCATCTTATGCATCCATACGATGCATCTGAAATTTCCATCACAGCTCAAGTCCCATGCTGTCTGGTCGGCTGCTCAGCACTCCCTAGGGCATTGAGCAGCCATCTTTCTGTTATCCCAGCCCTGGGAACCCCTAGCCTCTCCCCCAAACCTGCTCCCCCATGCCCTACTCTGTCCAGTTGAAGATGTCCCCCACCTGCTTCTCCCTATTCCCCCTCTGGTTTTAAAAAAGATTCCTCCTTGGGGCCAGCCCTGTGCTGCCTGCGATGCTGGCATCCCCTGTGAGCATTGGCTCCAGTTTAGGCTGCCCCACTTCCTAGCCAGCTCCCTCCTAATACACCTGAGAAGCAGGAAGAAGATGGCCTAAGTCCCTGGACCTCTGCCACCCATATGGAAGATCCAGATGGCATTCAGGACTTATGGATTCAGCCTGGCCCAACTCTTGCTGTTTAGGCCATTTCAGAGTGAACCAGTGGATGGAAAAGCTCTTTCCCAGCCTCCGTCTTTCAAATAAATCAAAAACAACAAGTGCTACTATTACTACAAACATTCACAACGCAAAGCTTCCTCCCAAGGACTCTGCCCTCTGACGTAGTCTACAGGGGCAGGACTTCTCGTCTTCCCATATCCCTAAGGCCCGCACTGTGGCCTGGCAGACATTCGCTGGGTGAATGAAGTGCTGAGTCAACAGCCCTGAAGCAGCAGCAGGTGTAGCTGACAGCCAGGGCAGTGGGTGAGAGGGGTCTGTGAGCATGAAGTCAGGGGTGCCCGCACATCTGTGGGAGGTGAGCAGTCTGCAGGGCTGGGCCAAAGAGAGCAGCAGCGCAGGGGAGGTGAGGAAGACACACTGCATAACGTGAGTCTAACTGTGTCTATGGGCATGGGAAACAGCAGGGTCTGGGCCACAAGCCACCAGCAGGACTGGGCTCCCAGGGACAGGACATTGTTGCTACCCCTCTCAGAGCTGGGGGACCATGCCTCCATCCGGTGTCTCCCAAGGGGTGCCCAGCCAAGCCTACAGCACCAGGAGGACCCTGTGCACAGAGTCCTAGATAGCAGATACAATAGCACCCAAGGGCCACCAGGTCTACCAGCTCCATGTCCTGTACCAAGGATGTCTGTGACAGCGAAGGCCAACTTCCTGGCAACATGAGACCCTGCCAGCAAGCTTGTCGCTCCCCAAGCTGACTGCTGGGGGAAAAGAGGGCCGGCTACTTCACAGCTGCAAGGAGCTTCTGCACAGCTACAGGACCAAACCAGGTCCCTGCTGGGCGCTGAGGCCTCTCTCTCGGAATCTACAGCTGAGGTGAAAGGCTGTGGCCCAATGGGAGCATCTCTTCCAGTGCCTGCAAGCAAAAGCTGTGGCTCCCATTAGGCCACAGCCTTGGGGCCAGTCTCCCAGCAGGCAGGTCTGGCCTGAGAAGCGGCCAGGGTGGGAGAGCAAGGACGAGGTGTGTGGGTGGGGATGACGGTGGGGGAAAGAGACCGCCTTCTTGGCCTGGCCAAGCAAGTGCAGACCACAGCTCTCTGCCAGCACCACGGTGGGGACCCACCTGTTTTCTTTTGTCCTGATTGTTCCTCCTCATTCTGAGTTAATTTGCATAATCAGAAATTAGTGCATCCTGAGCAAACACGTTCATGGTCTCAAAGAGTACCAAAACCATCAAGTGGAAACTTTTGGATACCTAATACAAAAGCCCATTTTCTCTGGGAAACATCTGTCATTGCCAAGGTGGAAGGCAGCCCGAGTATGTCCTTAAGTAAGGCAGCAACACAAAAGCGCCGAGCTGGGGTAATGAGCAGAGTGTGTCTGGGAAAGGGGGTGATTGTAGTGTTTCGGGAGGGAATTGCTGCTTGCCTGAGCTGTGGGGGAGGTCAAGGGTGTTTTCAATTTAATGAATTCATCATTTATGTTTGAAGATCTTGCTTCTTTCTACGAAAGCAATGAGGGAGTATGCACAAAGCTATCAATCTTGTCAGCATTTGCACTCATCCCTGGGCAGTCCGGGCTTTTGGCACGGCCCGCTCATGGTGAGATCAGAAGTTGCTTCCTGCAAGAAGGGTTTTCCCTGGTCCAGCAGGGTAGAGTCCCAGGAAGTGAAATACCGAGAGGTACAGCCCAGCCTGTGCACAGGGTCCTGTCCCCATTGCCAGGGCTCCCGTGGAGAAGCAGCCAGTACTGTTTGATTTCTGGCTTAGGAAGTTTTTTCTGGCCCTTGATTTTCCCATCTACAAAATGGGCTGGACACGCTCTGAGGGGCCACCAACTCCGGGCGGGATCCCATGCTGAGCCCGGAGTGAAAGAGCTCCCTGCCTGGGTGACTCCTCTGGTGACTCCATCTGGTGCCCACACAGTGTCCTGAGCTCTTCAGACCAGCCGGCAGGTAACCGACCGGGGCCCTGTGGGTGCTCCCTCCAACACGGAGAAGGAGATGAAGGAACAAGGACATGGGACATCACTCCCTGTGTGCACGGCCGAGGCACTTCCTCCACTCCATCGGGCCAGGCAGGGACTAATCCAGTGGCTCAGCTGGGCAGCTGCCCTGAGATTTATTCATGCTGTTTGGGGCCATCTTTCATTTTTCTACTCATGCTTAGGGTGGACCGTGAAAAGGATCAAGTCCCAAGGTCAGATCAACGTCACAGTCTTCCTGGGGCTCCCAGAGCTGCCGTCTGTGAAGCTGCCTGTGCCCACCACCTCAGGGGGCCTCTGCAGACACCTGTTCTCCCCCAGCAGCAGCAGGGATCTGCTGGGCTGCCCGGGAGCTGGTGGCTCCATGCCATATAAGTTCCTAATTTAGGGCTTTTGAGGGGAGGAGCCAACTTGACCCTCACTGGTGTGCTCTTCCAACAGATACTGAGCAGGGTGGCTATTGCTAACCAGGTCTCAACACAACGCAAGGCACAAAGACAAACCAGACAAGGCAGGGCTCCCGCACCCCGCCCCACCCTCGCCCCGTGTGTTGCTCATAGCGACTCGAACAGCTGTCCACGGAACATGTTTGCATCCCAGGTCTGAATCCTCCAACAGTGACACACACTGTCTCAGCCTGTCCTTGAGACTCAAGACCTGTTCAGGGTTTAGCAACCACGGGAAGTCCGGCACAACCATTTCATCCCTTGGAACCCAGTTTCCTTGTGCTAGTCTCCTTGCAAAACTTTCACACACCAAAGCAACCATAACTCTGTCCAATTCCAACACAGCTAGTTGAACCTCTGCAGTGCTTCCAGAACCTTCTGTCCCATCCCAGGTCAGCAGCCACGTCTTCGCGTCCTTGGCAGACAATGCCATGCCCACTCCAGGGTGCATCCAAATGCCGAGCCCAAGAGCCTGGGAGTCAGCCTGAGCCCTAGACCTTATGAGCTCCTGGAACTAGAACCAGCTGACAGCCTAGCCAGAGCCGTGGACACGGCGCAACGAGTGGATTAAGCGAGGCAGACACCTGCCTCCTATGCCCAGTGATCTTAGCGCATCCCCTTCCCAGGCTGCCGACTGCATGGTGCTGGAGACATTTCAGGAGTCCTGCCTGGACCTCAGGGATGTGATCGAGGCAGGTACAGACATGAAAAGCCTCAAAACTTCCTCTTGAGTAAACGTGGAGAGAAGCTGAACTTGTACCATATCCTTCAGCGACTCGACTCCCTGCATCCAATAGCCAAGCAAGGTGAGCCCCATGACACTGTGCCTCCCCAGCACATCATCCTGGGATGATTAGCCACATTAGCCAGCAGCAGCAACCATCTGGCAACTTCGCCACCACTCCCTTCCGCATTAACAATTGCTTGGGCCAGCTGGGTCTGACCAGACAAGGCTCTGGTCTCTGGGCTGACCTGCCACACACGGAACTGTGAGGAGACTGACCTGTGGGTTTGTAGTTGGGGCCAGCTGATGTGACCAGTGGTGTGACACAGAGGTCACAACATGGCCTCTAGGTCTTGTTGGGAACCTTAGGCAAGCGACCTCACTCAAACTCACCCACTATAAAACACCAAACAGGGAGAAACCAACCAAAGCAAGGGCTTGCAGAGCCCTGGCTGAGGGAGCCACTGCAGCTGCAGCCCATTACTGAGATGCAGAGAACACGGGGCTCACGCCGGTCAGAGCTGAGCCCCCAAATCTGCCCGGTCTCTATCCCGGCTGAGCCCTGGGTGAGGGAGAGGGCATCATGGCTACAGCGAAGCCTGCCTCCGAGTTGCACAGGCCATGGCTCCGGGACCCACCCCTGCTCAGCCAGGCCGTGCTGCCTGTGGGGAAGCCTCCTCCAAGGCAGCTCTGGTTGATGCCAGCCATGATCACGAGCCCGCATGTTCTGTCCTCCATGCCCTGCCTCTCCTTCATTTAGGAGAGCGATAATTCTGGGGAGACACAGTTTTCTGGAAGCTGACGGAGGGGGTGGGGGTAGCCGCAGGCAGCACAAAAGGGGACAACACGCGTGGCGCTGTTTACTAACCATTCACCTGCAGGACGTGGGTCTGGAACAGCTCCTCGTGGCCGGTGGCGTGGCAGGTGTAGTTGCCCATGTGGACGGTGGTCACCTTGGAGATGTACAGGGAGTTGTCCTCGCCGAAGTCCTGTGCAGGCGGCGGTGGTGGTTGAGGTGGGAGGAAGATGAAAGAAAGATAAGCCCCCACACAGAGTAGGTGTGGGGGGTTTACACACAAGTCCTCAGGAGCACGCAGCTTCGTGTGCCTGTCCTGGCTCAGCCAGAGTGGCCTGCAGGGCCATGCTCAGGTTGGCAGCCATGCCTCTGCTCTGCACATTGCTGGCTGCCCACTCCCAGTCTGGCTGCCCTGCTACTTCCTACAGGAAGCCTGGAGCAAGCTCCCCGCCCAATGCACCTGTTCTCCATTTCATCTAATGAGGCCTATGGGCCCCCTCTGCTGGAATCTTCCCCACCTGAAAGTTCCTGGAGGGAGGGCCTCTTTTAGAGCTAGTGAGTAAAGCCTTTCGGTTTTCTGGCTTCCATGGCTTCTGTTGGTTACTTCCCTGGCGAGGACAGCCCTTGCCAGACCTAAGTGAGGGAGTGTGGCCGGGCCCCGGTGAAAGGTCACGTCAAGTTGCATGTGGCCCAGTGGCTGCAGTTGGCTTACTGCTGATTTAGATGTCACCCGAGGCCCAGGAGGATTCCAGGCAGCTGGCAGAGAGCGGGGAGACCCAAGAGAAGGGACTAGAACCAGGAAGAAATCGGAGCTACCGGAAATCAAGGGCAGGGCCTTCAGAGAGAGCTGGGGAGGTTGCGCAGGAAGCGGTGTGAAAGCCGTGGCTCTGTGGGTTCAGCAGCCTCATGGGGTCAGTGTGCAGGCAAGGGCGGCAGGCGGCGGCTTCCGGCTGTATCAGCTCTCCCACGGAGCACGAGGCACCAAGCACAATGCCAGCACACCTACCCCAGGCAACATGGGCACCAAGTGTGGGCTGCTGGGGAGTGAAACCATCCTGGGACATGCAGAGAAGCCTGGCTCCGCTTGCAGGAGCCCCGTCCCTACCCTTCACGGGAAGCCTCAGTAATAACCATAAAACAGGAACAGCTGATTCGTCCTGTGTCCTACCGCAGTCTTAAAGTGCTCGCGCCTGTGTGGCTTACAGAACACGGCTGGCTAGCCTATCCCTTGGCCAAGACACTTCTAATCTGAGGAGCTGTGTTGAGTATCAAAGCCTAAGTCTCCAGAAAAATCTGTTTTCCTTGCAGTCTTGGAGGCGGGTGATACCTTGGTTGAGGGCTGGAGGCCGGGTGCAGCCCCACCTTGTGGGGAAAGGGCCAGGGGCTTGGCAGCTCCTTAGCCGCCCCATGTGGCATGGGTCCTGAGCATTTGTGGGTTTTGGGGGGGGGGTCTGTGGAGAGACCTAGAACCAATGCCCCACGGGTACCAGAAAAACAAACACACACCACCAGAAGACCCAGCCTAAAACAAGCCAAAATCTGGTGTTTGAGGGTGGAAGCTGAGCTGCCCTTAAGAGAACCGTTGGAGTTGGATCTTCTCTACCCCTGCCCCATGACCCGCGGGGTGGGGAGACTGCCCCCTGCCCTGCCCCTCTGCAGCCGCCTTCCTGCACAGCAGTCTTTCGTCCAGATTGGGCGCCTCCTGCCTTGGGACCTCTGGTACTTGCTGTTGCTCTGATGTCGCTCAGGAATTCACTGAGCGATTCCCCATGGGACGTGAGCCTGCTATAGGGTCGGGGGATTCCTGTGTTGTGCGCCCTGCACACACAGGCCCTCGATTACCTAACTGTGGAGTGAATGAATTGCAGGGCACCAGGCTGGGCCATCTGCAGTGGCCGTGTCCGGTTTTGGCTCCTTGGCCACCGAGGTGCCACCTCCTGCCTTTTTGTTCACCTAGTCTGTGTCAGACGAGCTGGCCAATGGCCAAGGCAGAGGACTGGTCTCCGGGCTGGTCCCTCGTGCCCCCACATGCCTCCATCTGCAGCCCTGGAAGGGCCTCTTGGCTCTTGTGCCTTCCTCTGGCCAGGGCACGTGTGGTGGACCCAAGAGAAGGCTGAGCTAAAGCAGTGGAGCAGGGGCAGCGGCTCATACAAGGACCCCAGATGGCATTGATGTGTCCAGTGCCACTGTCAGGGCTGTGTGACCTCTGTTGGCTTTCCCTAGCTGGCCAAGCACCAAGCCCTCAGCTTGTGCTGCTGGTGTGTCCGGCAGCGGAGACCTGACTCCTGAGTAATTGTGCTGTTCCCAGGAGGACGTGAGGACCTGCTGGATGCTTCCAGAAGCATCAAGCACATCACCGGCCTGTGGCCCAGGCTCCACAGGAAACCCAAGCCGGCAGTAAATAGAATAATGTCTCTCAACTAAAACAATCAGCGCCGTGTAATTATACGGCCAAGTGCATATTGTTTTCTGGATGTGAACACTGGCTACAGAAATAAAATCTACCTTGTTGTATGCAAGCAGATTACTTTAAAAATTGATTTATAAGAAGCTATATAAAACGAAACCTGCAATCTTTCCTCTCCTGAATGTTCTCTGAGACGTGTCTGAATGGCATTGTCAGTGCTTGATTGCATCTCTGTAATTGTCTTTTTATGGAGAGCGTTCCTTTTTTTTTTTATTATTATTATTCTGGTGCAAAGAAATGGATTAGCAAAAGCAAGCTTGCTTCCAGAAATAAACAGATGCCAGATTAGACTATTCTATGAATCTGCTGTTGGGAAAGAGATGATTCTACTCAAAGATGTAATTTTCATCTTTTAAACATCCAAGAATCTGCCCTCATTAAAGAGGATAATGACACAAGACTTAAGCACTAAATGACAGTTAAGCAGGCTTGAGATGGGGGTGTTGGCACCGTGACCCGTGAACGTCAGGGGTCAGCCATGTGTTGATTTGAGGGTTCCTCTTGGGGACACAAACATGGTATTGGAGCTGAGGTTTACGATACTGCCAAAGCCATGGTTACAATTCAGTTTGGGGACATTCATTCAGAGCTTTCTACCTTGGGGTTCCCTGGCTGGCTACTGGGAGGAGGAGGTAAGGATCTTCCCTCAACACCAGCTCGACGCTGGTCCCTGGAGTGTCATTTTCCCAGCATTCCACATGCCCGCTTGACCACAGGGCACCCAGACTCATGTGATAAGCAGCGCCTTGGCAATGGGTGTGTTTACTGTTCACATGTGGGCACCCCTGCCCATGATCTGAACCAAGTCAGGACCAAGTGACACGTGCCATCTGCCAGCACAGACACACATAGTACCTAGGAACACATACACCTGCACATACATGCATCCACACCCTGGTTTGCTTTCTTTCATGAATTATTATTTTGTGATACAGTTCTATAGGTTTCATAGGCTCTGGAACTTCCCCTCTGCAGGTTTCCCACCCCCATTGCTTTCCCTTTTATTATTACAACGTGTTGTCCTTCATGAACAGTCATAAGTCTATCACTCTGCCATTCAAGTGTATCCTGACATTCTAGGCATGGATAACAGTAGAGAGTCTAGTATCCTATTGCCAGGATACATTCAACAGTTTCACTGCGAGTCCCTCTTCAATTTGGATGTAGGGGTGTATGCTGCATTGCCACACCCTGGCTTTCTACAGCTGACCACCTGACTGCCTGGGGTGCCCAGCCGCTTCTGTCTCCCCTCCCTCGGAGGACAGGTTTGCCTCTCTACAGGGACCTGAGCAGCCATCTTCAGAGTGGTGGCTTCCCTGCGCAGCTGAGAGCCCAGGGAAGAAGCGCTGGACTAGTTGTTTAGTGTGACAGCCCCGGGCTCTGCCCTGCTTATGCCTGTGCTAGGCTGAGGCGAGGGAGTCAGGGGAGGGGAGGACCGTTCCCTGTGGTCAGCGGCTGCCCATGACTGTGGGTGCTAAGGGGTGCTGCCGACACCTCACTGGAGCTTGTTACTGTTTGCTGAGTGAACAGAGGTGCTGGTCATGTCATCTGGAAGAATGGCCAGTAAAGGACTAACCTCACCCAGAGACAAGGGCTGGACTTTGCCCTCAGCTCCTGGCAGTCCTGGCCTGGGGTCTTGGGACCGTATGGGGGCAGCAGGGTCACCCGGGAGAAGCAGAGATGGACACACCCTAGGCTCAGGGCTCCTTCTCCCAGACAGCACCCCTTGCGTCTGGGATTCACCCAAATGCTCAAAGCCCCAGATGTTTGGGTACAACTGGGGCTTTGACTATTGACTGGGGAGAATCGGCCCAATAACGGTGTTTTCCTGGATTCTCAAACACCATGTACCCAAGCATTTAATGAGATTATTTTAATGCAGAAGCTACCACTGCCGTCTGTCATGTTGCAAATAGCTCTCCATGCTAATCAAACGCCTCTCATCTTTTCACAACGGATCCATGACTGCTTCGTAGTGAGACAATAAAAATTAAATGACTCGTGAGCTCCTCAATCATCTTCTTTTGGTCTTTCTTAATAACTCACTTCCAAAGAGGAGCTAGCTGAGAGCATATGCTTCATTAGAATTATTTGTTCCCGTTTTACACCATTTGGGTACGGGGAGAAAGTGAACCTTTTAACACATCCTTCAAACACGGCCACAAATACTTTCTTCTAATGGGTTTTGTTTCTCTGCTTTTATCACCGCACCCCGCCTGCGACAGCTGAAAGCACAGATAGTGGGATTCAGGGAGGAAAAATCCAACACGTTGCAAACCAGGAGCTCTTTCAAGTCATTTTAAATGTATGGAGCTTGTTGTTAAAGAAAAATGAGAGAATGCAACAGAGAAAGTTTCTCACAGAGAAGATCCTGACCAGGCAACCCCACGCTGCTCTCTGAATCTGCTGCTCCCCTTCCTTGCTGGTGCTAGCTGGCTAATGAGACTCGCAGGGCCACACACACAGTGCCCCTCATCCCATGTTGGTGGCATTACTGCAGGAAGCACACCCTGTTGGCCATGGGGCAAAGCTGTTACCACACCAGCTGTATCCCACAAGCAAGGAACCCAGGCTGTGGGGCTTGGCTGTGGCCCAGGGCCAGGGCTCCAATCCTTCTGACTCCGTGGCCTGGTGGAGTGGCCATCAGCAAGGCGATGATGCTAGAAAAGAATTCTGGCACCAAGGATGCACATGCTAGCTGGGTTTGGGGAGCGGCAGCCATGGGATCTGGGTGGCAAGAGAATTAGAGGGCTTGGGTGTGCAATGGGTCTGGAGTATTTCATTTCTGTGGGAAGTGAGGTGGCATTCCCTGCCCCCGGGGAACATGGGGGCCAGGGCTGAGGACTGGAGCTGCTCTGGGGTCCAGGTGAGCAAGCACAGGGCTTGGTGCTCCTGATATCTTGGTGGGGCTGGGATGTGCTACTGGGACTCTGCTGGTCACAGGACTGTATGGGCTTGGGGTCTGGAGAGGTCCCAAGGTTGGCCCAGCCCTTTCCTGATGGGATCTCTGCCTCACTGCCCAGGTATCTGGAGGACGAACTCTCCCGGAGGACCAGCTTGGGCCTTTGCCTGGAACCTGGCAGGGCTGTGGGTTTCTGGCGCCCACGGCAGCAAGTACCCCCAAGCCAGGAAGGCAGGGCTCAGGGTGTGGCTGCCCTCTTCTCCTAGCAGCTTCCTGTAGGATTGGGGGGCTGTGGGCTGTGGATTTCTGGGCAGGGGATTGAGGGGGAGGTAGGGCCAAGAAGCCAGCTATCAGCTCAGCAGGGAGCCAATGACAGGTGCGTTCTGCAGGCTCCTGGGAGCAGGAGCATGGCGATAGATTTCCCATCAGGCGAACAGGAGCTGCCATCATGCACCTTGTAGGCTCAGAGGATGCTCTCCTGCCATCATGGTAGGGTGCGGCCCGACACCAGGGCCAGGTGGTATTTGATTGTGGCTTTGAGGTCCCTCAGGTACCCTGGCAGGAGCCCCAGACAGAACCCTGGCTGAGAGCCACAGCTAGCCTGGGGGCACAGCTCCAGGGAAGACGGAGAGACAGAGAGAGACAGAGAGACCAACCCCGAGAGCAGAGGCAGGGCTGTTGTTGCTCCTGGGTCCCTCATGAAGTGGGTCCTTCTTGGAATGTACACTTTATTTTAGGCGGGACTCGTGCAGCAGTCCTGTGTGCACATCTGACCACGTCAAAAATTTGTGATTGTCCCTGCCCACAGGGGCGCTGTGAGGCTGCTCCCACCCCTCTACACTGCTCTCTCTTGCTTGTTTCTGCCCCTCCTTCCTCAGGCCTCCTGAGCAGGTGTTGATGGGAGCTTGCTCCCCTGCAGGCTGGGCACAGCGTTTGTTCTGTGCGCTGGGTACAGATGCCCAGGCACAGATCGAACCACTCTGAAGGCTGAGCCCACGTGTGCGCCATGGTGAGGGAGCCGTAAGGGCTTCTGACAGCAGCGCCACCTGCCCTCCTCCCCCGCAGAAGCCCAGTGGCCGCTCCTCATTTGGCTCCAGGCGAGAGGGGTTGCAGTTTCTTCTGATCAAATGCTATTCTGATGCTCAAGGCATCTTTGATGTTTGCAAGTCAGGAAAGTTTAATTACACATGTCGCAAGGATGGCATTCTGTAATAGCCCTGCGACTGAATTCATTAACAGAATTCTTAACAGATAAGACAAGACAAATTAATATTTTGTTGCCCATGAAAGCTTCTCATTAACAGACTGGTGCAAGAAGTGATTAATATTTCGTTGCCAATCAAGATGTCTCACACGAACAACCAAGGCAGGAGGCCCGCACCTCTCTCTGCTCTCACTTCCCTCCCGCCTCCCCGGGCTGGGCTCTGAAGACGGATCTGCGCTCCCTGCCAGCAGGGCGCCGGGCCAGGCACTCACGACCCGCCTGCTGCTGTGCTCCATCTCCCTGGGCTGAGACGCCCAGGCTCGGGAAACTCTGGGACCTCTACTCCATCAGTGCTGTTTGGCCCTGACTGATCCTGTCTCTAAAACTACTGCCCAGGTGCCGACGGCCTGGCTCCAGCCCTCTGCAGGGGCTGTCCCTAGTAGGGCTGCCACTCAAGATGACCTATTGGGTGCCTGGCACTAAGCAGGGCAGTTCACACCCACAGGCTCAAGTATGACCAAAAGTTCACCCAGGGCTCCTCTGGATTGGCAGGGTTGGAGGGAGTCTGGGCAGTGTCTCTTCCCAGATGCATGGCAGCTGATGTGGGTGGGGTGGCCCCTGTCCCTGGCTACAAACTGCAGGGGTTTAGGGGTGCTGTTGGCTCCTTGTTGGGGACCCAGGGGGCAAGGTGCTGAGCACGCCAGTGGACAGCAGCTGTGGTCAGTGCACTCATGCTGACGTTCACTGTCATGGTGGTAAGCAGGGGCACTACGTGCTAGGAACTTGACAGCTGTCTTCTCACGTCACCCTCACGGAGGACTGCAAGAGAGCTACAGCTCTCTGTTCCCATTTCACAGATGGGGAAACTGCGAGCAGTCCAGTGTCATTTTTAAGGTTACTAAGTTGGTAGGAGGTGGCAAAGCTGAGACTCAAACCTGGGACCTTGTGACCCCTGAGCATGCCTTTCACTAGCTGGCTGCCTGTCTCGTGTGTGTGTGTGTGTGTGTGTGTGTGTGTGCGCGCGCGCTGTTTATGTGTGTCTACTCGCACAAGCTCAGGGTTCCTACAGCACTGGGCTCTGCCCTGCATCCCCACTTGAGAGTCTCTGAGCAGCACAGAGCCTGCCCATTTGCAAGCTGACTCACCCACCAGCAGCAGCTGTTTGCTGGGTAACGAGGGGCCATTAATCTCTGGCTGCACCCACAATTATCCAAATTGCTAACCTTATTGTGAAGAGGAGAAATGCAATTGAGTTGGTGCTGCAGGCAGATTGGAGGGAGGGGAAAACCACTCAAAGTAATTTAATTAACTGATGGCAAGTACATTAGGTGGAGTTTTGCCTCGGCCCTCATTTCTGACATCTTTAAATTGAGCACCGGGAGTGCTCGGACAATTGTCAGCTGCCCTGTCCTAGTATGGATGCAGTCACTGCTAGCCAATCATGGGCTGACACGCCTTGCTGTGAGACCTGGCTCGGTGTAAACCCATGCACCCCAAGACAGACAGACAGACAGACAGACAGACAGACACACACACACACACACACACACTCTGGTCTTTATAACCTGGACACTGCCCCTTCTAGCCAAGGTTTCTGACAAGCCTGGGCCATCTCAAGCCAGAGGACAAAAAGCCTGTGTCCCACTCACACACCAGGACATAGGGGATGCAGGGAGCATGTCACAAGGGGAAGTTGCAAGGGAACTGCCCTGGCCATGGTGCTGAGGCTGGGCACAGGACAGTCCTTGGCCATCTCTGCCCAGGGGCAACCCTCCAGAGGGACTCCCTTTTGCTGTCTATCCCCCTGCCCAGTGATCTCAAGGATATAGACAAATAGGCCTGGAGAGTTTCAGAGTGCAACTTCGCTGGCACCTGCAGCGTTTCCCACGGGGCCTTCTTCCAGGAAGCCGACTCAGCAGGAAGTGATCATGGAAGTCATGGGCTGAGCTTGTTGGCCCCAAGGGCTGGGTGGGCGGGGTTGGGGCCTCACTGCCTCCTGTGCTGTCTCAGGGAGCCCACACTGGCCTCTGTCTATTGGGCACCTGGTTGTTGTGCTGGTCCTCCCCATGGGGTCGGATGGCCTAGGCCAGCTCCCTGTGCCCTACCCCTCTGCAGCTCTTCAGCGGTGTTGGTAGGAACTGAGCACTCATCCTACACATGTTTTTTCCCCCAGGGCGAGCACCTGCTGGGGTCCACCTGTTCTGCTCTGAGCCCAGGTGGCCAGGGCTGCCTCCCTTCTGCCAGAGACTGGATCCCTGTTTTTCTAACCCCTGACCTGGTAGTTTTCCTGGCAGTTCAGTGAGTGAACTCATCCTGTCTTCTCCCATGAACTTTGATGAAGCTTAATTATCCCAGTGTCCAACCTGAACCAATCAATCAAATGTAACTTATTCCCTGTCATCTTTAAGCCCCCAGAAGGGAGGGACCACTGATGCTGTTCTCTGCATGGAAGATGTCATTGGGGGTAAGGAGGCTAAGGAGTTATTAAAATTCACAGAGCTTTTACCAGTGATGCTGGGCCCCACCCTGCCTGCTGGGCCCCACCCCGGCCTCCAGGATCATCAGAAGCACCCCACATTAGCCTCGGGAGCTCAGAGGTTCTCTGCTCCCTGCAGTTCTAGTTGATTTATCACCCAGCAAAGAAACCCCCAACATGGGTCCCTCTGGCCCAGCTAGTCTCACCTGGCACCTGCCCTCCAGCCCCTCAAACCCTGCAAACTCCCAGCCTAGCTCCCTCACAGGGGTTACCCTTCCCCTTGCCCAGCTGTAAAGACCCACAATTTCCCCTTTTGGGTCTCCCCAAACCTGCTGCCTGGCTGTATCCTCTTTCGGCTCCTGACCCACCCTCTGAGCCATGTGAACAAAGCACACAGCGTGCTCCTTTGCCCAGTCCATTCTCAGCCACATGCAGGCCCTGGCAGAGTCCTCCTGCCCTGCCTTGACTGCACACCCTTTTGCACCGGCCATGGTGCCAGGCTGCTGACCATCCGGTGTCTGGATCTCCACCTAAGCATGTGACACTGCTGTGGGATGTCTCTCACCCCCAGCCCTGGGATGTACACATGCACTTTGGTGACTTACGTTGATGTCTTCCAAGTCCAGGAAGTTCAAGGTGAGCCCATTGCGCTTCCAGACAATTGGTGGCCTCAGGGCTCCACGGATGGCACAGGTGAGCATTATGCTTAGCCCCACGGTCACCGTGGTCACACTCACCCTGTCCTCGGGTGCGAGGCTGAGCTGTACCACATCTGCAGGGAAAAGGGAGCAGGAGGTCAGGGCCAGGGCCATCTGATTCCAAGGCTAGTGACTGCAGACTGATCTAAGGGCAGGCACTGAGAACGGGTTGTAGGGTGCTGGTGACCTGTACGGAGGAATGCTTCTGCAGGGACAGAGCAGGGGAGCAATGGGAGGTGTGGGTTTGTGAGCAGAGCTGCAGGTGCCATGGCGGCATCAAGGGAGGGGCTGGGGAGCAGCTGTGCGGCACCCTCGTGGGAGTGGCCTGGGCTAATGAGGCCTGAGTGTTGCCAAGTGTAGTCAAGGTGTGTTGGGTGGGCTGACAGGCTTCTCTGGGGGCAATGCAAAGGTTGCACAGTCTGGGGTCCAGGGAGGAAACTGTCTGACCTTTGAAAGTTGTGGTTAGCTTGGATGTCATTTTGGATTTCTGATTTCTGGTCTGTGGCCATGCACAGATGGGAGCCTTTCGTGGTTTTTTTCGCTGATGCACTGCAGGCCGCCCATGGACTGATAATCTTTGCTGTTTTATTCTCTGTAATGGGCAGGGAGACTGCTCATGCTTTTGGGAGGGGTCTCAAGCATCCCCCTGCAAACACAGGCTTTGAGAAATTTTCAGGATTTATGAAGATGAGACGCACGCTGTTCAAATGCCTGCATAGCCCCTAGTTGGAAGGGAGAGTTGCCAGCCTGTTGCCCAGAGGGCTTCTCATGTCCTCCTCCCATACCTGCCAATTTAGGGGACTGGGGGATGCCAGCAAAAATGTCAGAAGTGCTATTCACTCTTTTTACTTGGTGACACAGAGGGAGTCCTGGCTGAGATGCAACCCTCCTGCGCCCTCCACTTCCACTAAAAAACAAATCTTGGGAGCCAAACTTGGAGTTGGGGACTGAGTTCTGAAACTCGGCTGGGTGCCATGCATTGTGAGCAGGCCATGCACCCCTGCAGGTGGCACATCAGTGCTCCCAGCCTCTCACCCTTGCATGACACAGCAGGTATACCGACAGCAGCTCCCAAGATCTGACCCACGCAACAACGCTCCTCCCAGCACTGACTCTGAATGCACACATATCTCCCCAGGACCTGCCGGATGGATGCATGGAGAGACAAAACAGTGGGGAGGGTCCATCCCACACAGGAGAAGCATGACTCATGGTGAGGAGCCCCCCATGATGGAACACAGGCCCTGAGTGACAGGTGCTGCTAGACACCCAAAGCACGTATTTTCACCTCCTCCCTAATACTGTGGTACCTGCTGCCTGCCACTCCCCGAGTCATGAATCCAAGGCACCCCACAGGAGACCCTGGCTCTGCCCAGAGCCAGGCTGGGGAGCTTTATAGCACAGAGAAAGATTTTGCTAGAACTTCCCAGCTCTCCGATACCCTGTAGGCCCTCAGGACTCACAGCTCACGGGTCTCCTGGTGGCAATGGCTTTTCCCATGGGAGCATCCTGACCTCAGGCTGGGAGCCCAGGCCAGGGCCAGCCTCAGCCGTGGTGCCCACGGCACAGTGAGCAGCAGGTCTTGCAGCGGTGGTTGCACTGACAGGAGTCACTCTGGAAGCAGCGGGGACACAGGTGTGTGTGGGATACACCTAGCTCATTTCTCACACAGAGTGCGACTTCCATGTCAGCTGGACTATGCTCTGCGATGTAGTGACTGTTGGCTGCGGCTGTGGTGGGAGCCACATTAATTACTTTCTCTTCCTGTCTGAGCTCTGGTGGACCAGCTCCAGCCAGAAGGAGTCCCTGGAGGAGGCAGGGCCACTCCTGGGCCCTGGGCTCTAGGTTCCATTCCCAGGGTGGGTGAGCAGCACAGATGCCTGTCCTGGGGCTGCCACAGGCTCTCAGGTGGTGGGGGGATGGGAGCATGCCATTTTTCACAGGTATCCCAGGGGGGTTCTGTGGAGCCCAAGGCCTGAGAACCACTGCCTCCAGAATCAGAAAGGGGGAGTATTGGCAGGGAGATGGAGAGCCAAGGCAGCCAGGCAGGGCGCTAAACACCAGGCTCTGGGTATGGGCTCTCACTTGCAAATATAGAGCCCCTCCTCTATGTGGCTACAAAGTCATATATTTCAAGCTATTTTAGAAGTAGGCAGGGGGCCTGTACCACAAAGAAACAAAGCAAAAACAAAAACAAAAAAAACAGTGCAAGTGAGCAGTTGGGGGGGGGTCTTCATCAACCATGCGCACCTGCAGATGGTGGGGAAAGACAGGATGAGTGGGCAAACAGACTGTACCTTGGCAAATCTGCCCCTGTCGCCTACACAAGAATGAACCAAACAGCACATATTTGGACCGTCTAAGGTTTAAATATGTGTTCTATCGGATTAACTTTGTCTCTGTATTTCCCAGAAGTGACTGACGGCCATGGAACCCCCTCCTCCTACTCTCATCTGTGAGCAAGCCCCTCCTATGGCCCCCATGGCCTCCAAGGGCTATGACCAAGGCCATGATCACCTGGGGTGACCTCTGGGAGAGGGAAAGGTGAGATGGCCTCCCGGGCTATGGCAAGAGCAAGCAGGGCAGGGAAGTAGGCACCATGTTGCTCAGGGATGCTCTTGGGGACGACAGCGGTCAGAGGCCCACCAGGCAGCTGACCTGGCCACACCCTCGCTACAATCCTGAATGCCTGCCCCTCACTGCAAGGGTCCTATGGGCAATATGGAGGGAGTCCTGGGCCAGGGACTGACACAGCTCCTTCACGACAGCTTTGTCTCACACTGCTCTCCCCGGGATTGAGCCCCTGAGGGGCGCTGGGAGCCACCCAAGATGGTGAGTCGGGGAGAACTCAAGGTAGAGCCTGCATGCCCTGTGACTTCAATTGGTGGTTGCTGAGTGCCGCTTCTTTGGCTTGCCCTGGCAGGTGACTGGAACTAGCTGTGTTTTTGCTGTTGGTGGTGGGGAGGGGTTGGGTGTCATGTGCTTTTTGCCTTTGCTCCCTCCACGGAGCTGCCACTCGGGGCCCCTTCCCAACACCTGCTGATATGTGCAGTGGCAGCAGGGCACGGGCATCATGGAGCTTTCTGCCTGGAGTGCATGCTTTGTGCACTGACTGTAGCCGGCTTGTGTAGGTGGCTCGGGGCCAGTCTGACTCGCTCCAAAGTCACGCAAGAGGTTATCTGCACTCCTCCAACACACCCTGCTCTGTTAGGCATAACCTGCTTAGAGTTTTTTCTGCTGCTGTCCTATTCTCACTTGCTTGCTTCATGTTGTCCATAAAGCCTACTAATTACCTGCAGGTCTGTGGGCTAATTTTTCAAACAGACCCATGTTGCTTGGGGTTACTTCAGCCTTTGCAACAGTTCAGTCTCCAAGTTCTGCTCTTTGGAGTGAACACATATCTATACACGTTGCACTAAATACATTTCCTGCTTTCTTCCATTTGTACCCGCAGCACTTCATACAGTGCCTGGCACTCAGGGAAGAGTGATTAAGCAAGCCAGCGATGAGCTAGCCTCCCTAGCCTCAGTCAGCAGTCACCACTGGGCACTCAGCACGTGCCAGCATATAGTGAGAATGCACTGGCAGGCAACACGGGCCCAGGTCTGCCAGCCGGAAGCTCAGGGTTTTTCCGCTTACAAGGGGCAGGAGGGTAGAGGTCTGAAGCCTGCCCTGTGATGCCAGGTTCCAGGCTGTCTGTTCCCATAGGCCTGACTGCCCTCTCAGGGGAGCCTGCCTGTGTGTCTGAGGACTGGGCACTGTGCAGATCCATGTCCGCCTCTCAGGTTGCCCTCATCGGTGGAGTGTTCTCTTCACCTGCAGGAGGGGGTCTCCAAGGAGCGCCTTGGGAGAGGGGTTCAGGATTGAAGGCTAGCCACTCCTCAACTGGTGACACCGTGGTCAGGTGCAGGAAAAGGTGGTCAACTTTCTGATGGGGGAGGACAAGGAGGAGCCGGAGAGGGGCACAGTGTCCATTGTGGCCATGACCTGCTGGTGGACTGGGACAGAGATTGCAACAGAAGCGTCACGTGGGCCCCCAGTGTCTTGATGGAGCTGTGGGGACGTGAAAGCACGTGCAGCAGGCTCTGAGTGAGAAGGGCAGGCAGGAAGAGCTCTAAAGGAGACAGGGGCAGGGGCCTGGATGTGGGTGGTGGCTGGTGGTGAAGGTGGGGGCCTCTCCCATGTCAGGCAGGTCCATGGCAGTGCTAAGGGCCAAAAATATGAGAAATCTCTCCCCCTGGCTCGGTGCATTTCTCTCTCTGCCTCTTGAGTAGGCTCCTTAAATTATCTTCCAGAGAGAGCTGTGTAACGAATGCTTTGTCCAAGGACAGAGCTCGGTAAGAAAAATGCCTCCCGCTCCCTCGCCAAACATTCCTTTGCCATCTGTCAGCTTGGAAATCTCCACATCTTGACCCACAGTAAATTACTTCTTGGTGGCGGTGGCAGTACTGGATGCTTGCTGTGGGAGGGGGCTGCTGGCTGAAGGTGGGCACTGTAAGGACGAGAGGGTCAAGACCTGCTCCTCCTCTCCCTGTGGGCACAGCCGCCGGCAGCCCTTCCTCACACCCCTGCAGCTGCTCCAGGCCAGGACCTCATGACCTGGTGGCAGGCAGTGGTCTCTCTGCTCTGGCTCTCTGGGTAGGGAGTGGGCTCCTCTCCTGGCACGTAAGGCCAATGAGTGCCTTATTTCCAGCCTCATCTCCCACTGCTCCAATGGAGCTGTGTAATTGGGATGCTCTGCCAAAGTGTGTCCTGGGTTTCCCCTGGCTTGCTGGTCATGCTGGGCCACAGTGGCACCCCTTCCTGGAGAAGCTTTCCTTATCCAAACACACCCAGGATGTGACAACCTGCACGCAAAAAACTGGCAGAAAACCAGCTTATGCTTTTACTGCGTCTTGGACCTGCCCACCCTGCTGACATGGATGGCTGCGAGGGCCTCTCCCTGGGAAACCCTGGGCTGCATGCAGCTGGGCACAAACCCAGAGAAGAGTGAGAAATTCCACCCACCACAAGGTTGGAGTAATTATCTTTCAGAAGTTAACAGTGGGGTGACTTTAAGAGGTGGGGCTGCAGT